AGGGGACACTGCATGGTTTAGAGCCAAGAAGGAAGTGCATCAGAGTTGTGTCCTTCACCATACTTATTCAATTTATATGCTGAGCAAATAATCTGAGAAGCTGGACTGTATGAAGAAGAACATGGCATCAAGGTTGGAGGGAGAATCATTAACAATCTGTAATACTCTGATGGCACAACTTTGCTTGCTGAAAGTGAGGATGACTTGAAGCACTTCCTGATGAAGATTCAAGAATGCAGTCTGCAGTATGGATTACATCTCAATATAAAGAAAACAAAAATCTTCACAACTCGACCTATAAGTAGCATCACAATAAATGGAGAAAAGATTGAGGTTGTCAAAGACTTCACATTGCTTGTTTCAATGTGATGCCAATGGAAGCAGTAGTCAGGACATCAGATGAAGTATAGCACTGGGCAAGTTGGCTGGAAAAGATGTCTTTCAAGTGCTGAAGAGCAAAGATGTCTCCTTGAGGACTAGGGTGCACCTGACAAGAGCCACGATGTTTTCAATCGCCTCATATGCATGTGAGAGCTGGACAATGAATAAGGAAGACTGAAGATGTTTTTGAGTTGTGGTGCTGTCAAAGAATGCTGAAAGTACCACGAACTGCTAAAAGAACTAACAAATCTGGCCTAGAGGAAGTATAGCCAAATGCTCCTTTGAAGTGAGAATGACCAGACTTTGTCTCACCTACTTTGGTCATATTATCAGAAGGGACCATTCCTGGAAAAGAATGTCATTCTTGGTAAAGTGGAAGTTAGATGAAAGAGGGGAAGGCCCTCAACAAGATGGATTGACACAGTGACCCCAGTGATGGGCTCAAGTATAGCAAGGATTGCAGAGCTGGTGTGGGGCCAGGCAGTGTTTCGTTCTGCTGGGCATAGGGTCGCTATGAGTCGAAGATGACTCAGTGGCACCTAACAAAAACAGTGACATCTCTATTGAAGTAGATTGCCCAATCTTCCTTCCATGGAGTGGCTGGTATGTTTGAACCACCAGCCTTCTAGTTAGCAGTCAAATGCCTTAGGTACTACACCACCAGAGCTTCCATTAGCCATTGGAGAGATACAAATCAAAACAAGGAGATACTATCTCACCCCAGCACTAATAGCAAAGTTCAACAAGACAGAAAATAACAAATGCTGGTGAGGATGTGGAGAGATTGGGACTCTCATACACTGTTAGTGGGACTGAGAAATGATGCAACCACTGTGAAAAACAGTATGGTGATTCCTTTATCCCATTACTAGGTATATATACCAAAGAAGTGAGAGCCAGGACATGAGTAGATGTATGCACACTTGTGTTCATCACAGCACTGTTCACAACAGCAAAGAGATGAAAACATCCTAAGTGCCCATCAACAGATGAATAGATAGCCAAACTATGGTATATATAGATGATGAAATATTATGCAACACTAAAAGAATACTGCAGAATCCATGAGACACCTCATAACAAAGATGAACTTGGAGAACATTATGCTGAACGAAATAAGTTGATCACAGAAGGAAATATTTGTATTAAGCCACTATTGTAAAAAGTCAGGTTTTTTTTTTTTAATGAACGAGTTTGTCTAACATTTCATCTGCGTTGTCTGCTGAACTGGACTGGGATGTGACCCTCCCCTTGTTTACTCCATTCTTTAGAAAGTCTGAGACCTTTCACCTTGTGTGGGGGCTGTGGGGCCAGTAAGTGCAGCTGCATTCAATTGGGGGATGGGAGGCTCTGGCCTTCAAACTTCACCAGGCACAGGCCAGCAGCAAAGTAATGGAGGCCCAAAAGACAGCAGGAAGATGGGGAGAGCAGCTAAAGCAGGTGATGGATACAGGGAGAGGATATGAGACAGCCCCTTTTCATCACAGCATTGCCTAAATATTTTAGGGGAAGGTCTCCTGTGAAAAATGGCTGGAGTCAATCTGTTACTTGGGTTATGTTATGTCCCTGTAGATTGTCTCAGGCACTAAGATTACATGGCAGCCTGATGTGCTATTTGTTTGGGAGATTTCACCTTAAATGATATCATCCATTCTGTTGTGTTAATTGCTCTTTAGAGATTAAAAAAAAAAAAAATCAAACACTTCCCAGGGCCATTTACTCTTAGGTTGACAATTCAGAAACCAAAACCCTTTTGGAATACACAGCCCCTGCAGTTTCCCCACCTCACCACTCCCATTATCCCCCACACCTACCCCTATAAAGCATACACAGATGCATATATGCACATAAAAGTCCTTGTGCTGAAAGATGATGCAACGTTGATGATATCAGTGCCTATGTATAGCTAAAATGTGAAGTTAGAATCTGTCAGGCCCTTTAAGAATTTGCCTGCTCTGGCACCAGAATAGGCACCATTTATTGAAAGCTAGTAGCTGGAGACTCTGGCTCCTAGAGCCCTGGTGGTCCTTAAGACCTGTCTAAAGGTCAGCCCAATTTCCTGGGTACATACACTGGGCTCTCTTAGGTTCTCATGGGTCGCCAGCACCAGCTCTTTGACCACCTCATCATGTCACACCCTTGAGCAGTGCCCCATGTTCCTGGTTCTTCCATCTTTTCCTGGCCTGATGGATGCTTGCTTTGCAGGCAGATGAAGGGCATTGGGATCATGTTTGGTGGCTTAGAGACTGCGTTCATTTTTCTTGCCCTTACTACTTCCTGTGTTGGTGTAATCTATCACCAGTGATGAGAAATAGAAAGAACATGGACTCTAGGGCCATCCAAACCTCAGTCCAAATGTAAACTCTACCCTGTGTTAGCTGTTTGACTGTGGGTAAGTTGGTTTAATTATCTGAGTCTCAGATGCCAGCTCCTTAACGCATGGTAACTTGTATGCACAACCTATGGCAGGTGATAGATACCTTCCACCGCCCTCCCACATGAGCAGATCTCCAGTCTGTATATCTAATTGTAGCCTAGGAATTTCTCTGGGTTGAGAAATTCTTGTTAGCAATGGACATTTATACCTGGCAGGGTTTAGGATCCTCACCGAGTGGCAGAGCCTTACCTCTCTATGTAGCCCCTGCCTCTGCTGCATGGATATGTCCTGGAAAGTCTTTTGCAGCATATGCTTCTGCTCCAGGTACAGTGCCTTTTTCACGAGCAGCACATCGGTGCGCTTCTGCACCTCGGCCATTGTGAGCTCCGCCACCTTCTGCTGGTGCTGCCAGACATCCCTGTCCATGCCCTCGGCAAGTGGGAGGGGCTGGGGTGGTATATATACCGCCAAGGGGGTGAGGGTCAGGTTGACTTCCTGGTCCTGGCACAGGACATACTGGTAGAGTTTGTAGTGGAGGATGAAGGTGTTGTGGAAGTAGTCACAGAGGGCTAGCAGGTGAGTAGTGTTGAATCGTCCCTGGTAATCTCTGAGTTTGTTGCCCAAGATCGTCACAGCCTCAGTGATGGAGCAGCCTGGGGCACAGAGGGGTCAAGCACAGAGTGTGAACAGTGCAAAGTTGCATCAATAGCTACTCAACACAGGCCCTGTACCCAGGCACTCTGACTCCAGAGCCCACATTTCTACCAGCTGAACTATAAAAACAAAACAAAATGAAACAAAAACCCATTAGTTGCCACTGAGTTGATTCTGACTCACAGAAGCCCCATACATATCATAGTAGAACTGTGTTCCATGGGGTTCTCCAAGGGGGACTTTTGGGAAGTAGATCTCCAGGTCTTTCTTCTGAGGTGCCTTTGAGTGGACTCAAACAATCAACCTTTGATTAGCAGCACAGCTTGTTAACCATTTGCATCACCAAGGATTTTATATTATACACATACTACTTTTTTTTTAAAAAAATTTTGTGATTTGGGTGAAAGTTTATAGAGCAAATTCATTTTCCATACAGCAGCTCACACACATTTTGTCTCATGATATTAACTGCAATTCCCCACAATGTAACAGCTCTCTTCCCACTTCCTCCTCATAGTTACCTCTTCCCTGTGTCCTTCTCTCGCATGCACTCCTGCCCCTATGAGCTGTCTCCTTGTGCATACACTGCC